ATATATATATATAAAACTGCCAGTTTCTATGTACATGAAATGGATGAGAACATTGCCTAAACTGTGTCATGTGGCTATTCTTGTATTTGTTTTTGTTTTTTGAGACAGGGTCTCACTATGTAGTTGAGACTGACCTGGAACTCACTATGTAGCCTAGGCTGGTCTCGAATTCACAGCGATCCTCCTGCCTCAGCCTCCCAAGTGCTAGGATTACAGGTGTGCGCCACCACGCCTGGCTGCATGTGGCTATTCTTGTAAATGAGGGGAAGTCTGGTTGATTTCTGACACCATTTTGAATTATTTGAACATACGAACACATACTATTTTCAAGAAACAACAGGATGGTGAGGGAACTTCAGTTTAGGTATTCCAAACTCTAAATGTTTTCTTTACCTTGACTCTGTACTTCGGCCCAGTCCAATGGAACTGGAGGTTTCCTTTTCCGCCACAGTTTGTCCATTGTCAATAGATACCTGATATCATCTTTAAAAAGCTTAAAAAAAAAAACAAAGGAAAAAGAGAAATTCCATGAACTCTCTAGGGCCAAAGATGAAAAATATATATCAGACTTCCACTGCTGGTTTAAATATTATACTGTGAAATTGCATTTAAAGACATATTTCACATTATTTTTCTCTTTTTTTCCCCAGTACTGGGAATTGTGAACTCAGGACCTTGAGCTTGCAAGGCAGGCACACTGTCATTGAGCTAAATCCCCAGCCCTGATATTTCACATTTTCAAAAGCCATGAGATAAAGCTCAAATGTCTTATAAAAGAAAATTTTACCCAGAATCCCTACATATAAGAGTTAAAGTTGGAGTATTCTAAAATACGAGCAGCTCTAAACTGTACTGACTTCTCCTGCCCTCATAAATACCTCCTCAAAAGGTCCCCTAAAACTCCAAAAATCAATCTGAAGCATCACCACAAATTAAAGGACCCAAATAAATATGCATCAACTCTACAAGAACTGAACACAATCACTGAGCCTGGAGACAGCAGTGACAGTATCTCCAAATTTGTGGGTACAAGCCAACAAGGCATATTTATTCTACAGGTGCTCAACAGAAATTCATAACTATCTGTAATATATTCAAAATGTGATCCCAATACCCCCCTAACCACTCACACAAAGCTTTTTAAAAAAACAACAACAACAAAAAGCACAAAAATACCAAGCAAACAAATTATTTTTAAAAACCAGGGCCAGCACTGTGCCTGCCTTGCAAGCACAAGGTCCTGAGTTCAATACCCAATATCAAAGCGGGGGTGGACCTGGGGATTTGGCTCAGTGGCACCATGCCTGTCTGGCAAGCACAAGGTCCTAAGTTTGATTCCTGGGTACCAGAAAAAGACAAAAAAACAACAACAAAAAAACCATTATTACGCGTAAAGAAACCAGCACATAAAAATATGTGGTGGGGAAAAAAATATATATATATCTATGTGGTGGGATTTCAAGTAATTTTAGTATTTTTACTTTTTCCTTATCTACATTTTCTATTTCTTTAAAATGCATTTACACCAGGTACTAGTTAAAGAGTATACAACTGGCTTAATTTGTTTTTTTGAGAAAGGGTCTCGCTCCACAGTTCAAGCTGGCCTTGAACTCTCAGCCATGTGTCACCATGGCCAGCCAGGTTAAATTTAAACAATGTAACTACTTCTTCAAAATATACTAAATTCTTAATTTTTATGAAACAAGTAGATATACAAAGTAGAATATAATTTAGTGTAAAAATCACAAAACTAGGGCTGGGGATTTAGCTCAGTGGTGCTGCTGCTTGCCTGAAAAGCAGAAGTTTCCAAATTCAATCCCTGTTACAAAAAAAAAAACAAACAAAAAAACCCAAAAAAACGACAAAAAACAAAACACACATACACACAATACTGCATACTATTAAGGATTTTTGTTTTATCTAAAGAATAAGGAAACACTACAAGACTACATCTGCAATTAGTAAACAAAGAGATGATGAGTCTATTATGAGCTGGATAGCGATCCAGTTGAATGCAATTTGTACAGGACATTGAAGTTTGGAGGTGAGCAAAGCCTGCCAGACAAGAGAGAATTAGCAGTTTTCCAAGGATAAACTCCATGTCCTTTTCCTGTCCTAGCTATTACTAAATATTGAGTTCCCCAGAGTTCTGTACAGATTCCTCTACCCTGTCCTTGATACAAATATATCCCCATCAAATCACATCTATACACTTGAGTCCCAACCATATCCTTAGACTAAATCCTTCCTTATCTAGAAGAATCACTTAACATGGCTCTCATATTCCAGAGCAATCTACAGTTTGAAACTGATTGTACTATATTACCTTCTCCTACTCCTAGAACCCACTTCACCTGTCTCAGAGAATGGCGCCTCTGTTCTATCCAACTGCTCAGTAAGAAACCAGGTGTGATTCCTGATTGCTCACTGCTCCTCATTGTACACACCCAAGTCTTGCTGAGGTTACTTCTCTTCCATGCTCTAGTGGGAATGCAGATGGCACCGCACATTAACAGGAGAACAGCCCCACACTGGTTAAGCATGAAAATCAAATCCTAGAAAGGGGCAGTACATCCCCCTCGATGACCTTACAGTGGTCCTGAAAGATTCCCTTTCAATAGTTGCACCTTTGTAGGAACAAAAATAGGTACTGAGGATAACAGTTTGAAAACTATTGCTGCTAGCCACATCACAGTTTAGCACATTTTAGGTATAGCAGAAATACAACCCATTTTCCCAAGAACAAAGACTTTGGGAGAAAATAAATACAACAGGCTTAAAAGAGTCAAGCTGTGAAATCTGTTACAGATGAGGAAGAGAATATAAACTGTTGTTAGGACAACATTTACATATGTGTGTGTGTGTGTGTGTATTGTTAGGATAACATTTACACACACACACAGAAAGAGAGAGAGCACGCGCGTGTATGTGCATGTTTAATTTTACATGCTATTTAAGGATGCTGGGGATTGAGCCCAGCAGTGTCAGGCATGCAAGGCAAGTGCTCTAACACTAAGCTAGCTACACCCTTAGCCCTTTTATAAATTTTAGTATCTTGCTAAATTGCCCAGGCTAGTCTTCATCTCGCCTCACCCTCTGGAGTAGCTGAGATACAGGTATACCTTGCCCAATTTTATATACTAC